CTCTCTGATTGATGGTCTCAGGATATGCCACTTTGCGAACTTGTAAGAAATCAAGATTCCCACATTGAGTCATCGATCGGAGTTTCTGAGAGAATTCAACATCCTAACAACTCAGGCAATGCGATGCAAAAGACTGCTGACGTACCAACTGTACAACTGCGGGGTCGCTCTGGTTGAGACATGGCTCATCAAGCTCGACCAGACCCAGTCCGTTCAACTGAGTCCATCACAGTAACTCACGCTATTCATCGGGCAATACCTTTGACATCACGTCCGCCACACTCACGATGGTCTTGTCTGCACTCATGCACTCTTTGAGGCCTGTGCTTGGAGGAGGGATCTTAAGAGCTGCGTCCACCTTGATAACAATAATTGAACCACCCATTTGGACAGAATGTGCATCGAACCTCCCCAACGGCTGGGATGAGTTCGGGTATGAACGGCTTCAGTGGCGTCTCCAGCTCGACAGTGTGAGGATGGTACCGACTGATATATCCAAAAAGATCCTTGATCTCCTCTGATACGCTCAGATGAGCGAAATCTTCTGCCTGATACCTGCCGACGGCATTTAGCTCCCCCACGGTAAGCAAGCTCTCAAACCCTCGAGTAGTAGGAAGTTCCACATTAGCTCGAATAAGCTTATGAACTGCAAAATCCTGTGTTGGAGACACTCCAGCTATTGGGGATGAAACAGCCGCCGATGGTACGGATGGGGACCTGAATTGGATCCTCTGTCGAGATACCGAGCTATAAGGGTATACTCTCGAGGACTCCCCCGAAGGGTATAGGCTAGAACTGAGACGGCTTAGGTCGTGGGCTTTCGTTGCAAAGAACGTTACCCAGAAGATGATGCTACAGAGCTTCCATCGCTGCTCCTATTGTGCTCCATGATGGGCACAGCCAGATGTCTGTGTTGGGCGGCTCCCTGTGGTGTTAAACCCTAAGACATGCGAACCCACCAGTCTAGACTTGGCTCGACTACACACACGACGATAAGCATTTCACGAGAACAACAGGGGTCGCATTAGGGCGAAACACCTCTGGGTAAATACACAAGTAGAGACACCGCACGCCCTACTCGTGCAGAATTCGATGCTAAAGACTGTGGCGAGGAGTTGATCGATCCGAGTTCTGTAAGCCCAGAGGAGGCATCGACATGGAAACGGTGCGAAGAGCGGTCGTATGCCTCGAGGCCGCCACGACCACTATGAGGGGTGGATACGCTGTCTTCACCGTCTGAGAGGCAGCACGTAAGCAGCTCCTCCCGATGTAGGTTGCGCCTCGTACCATTGGGGAGAGGCGGAGTTCTGCGCTCCTGGAGGGTAGTAGGACCCTCCTCATCGGAATTGATCTCCTCTTCCTCATCATCTATCGGCTCGTCCCCCTTCAGTACATCGAAGACCTCATCATAAGGTCTGTTGTGTATGACTCGAGGGTTGCTTGGTGAGAACCCTAACACAGACTGTATCCTGCCTAGCACGGCTGCGGCTACACACACTCGATTCAAAATCACTCTCGTCTGACTGTGGCTCTTCGAAGTAACCCGTAGCCGCCATAAGGAGATCAGAAATATTCTATGACATCAGTGTCGTCGCGTCACACTTCTCAGAAACTCCGGATTCATGCTCTAGCTAGCTAGTCTAGTCATGCTGATTCAACTGATAATGATCTGATTCGCTGATGATGCTGCTGTCAGCTGACAGCCGCTCTTTGATCTCTGAAGTACAGCCAAGGTCCCAAAGGTTGCTGCGAAATCCTCTGAGCTCGAACGCATAGCCTCGTCAACACAACATGACAACTTGTCGTCAATAAGACTATTTCAACTTACTCAAGAACAAAGTCGTTACTCGCAATCAGCATCCTCGGAAGAGGTTGAAGCCTGATGCGCGGGTCTAAAATCTATTCACGTCAAGAATAGGCTAGATGGTCCATTAGTTAACGATAAGGGTACTGACTCCCCTCCAATGGGCTTTGCTTGCGATGCAAATCCAGCCTCCGTGAAAAGGAACATCTGGACGCTTTCTGGTGCGACTGAGGACTCAAATGGACCACAGTGCACCCGACCCACATCCGTATGCGCGAATAGGTTGCGTATCCTGAACCTGCAAAGCGGATGGGGACAAGCAAAGGCTCACACCAACCGACCTGGTGTGTAAATTCCAGCCCGGAATTTTCGAAGGATCAACCTTAAGAATGGTGCTCTCAGTGAGGAAGTTCTGCAGCACAACCGCCCATCTAGCCTTGCATCCGTTCGGTGAGAGTTCCTTGATCCACACGCGGACTTGGGAAGTATTAGTATAGATAGGATACCCCTGCAATGAGATGCTAGACAAACACTAATCAGGCACTGTGCATTGAGAGCTGCACTACGAAGAGACAGTCAACCAAAAGATCGTTACCATCTTCCCCAGAGGATCTTGGCTGACTGCAATGATCTCCTTGTTCTGCAAGATTTCCTTCGTCCCTGGCGGCATGTTATACAAATCATTGCTCATCAACCTACATGAACATACTCTCGATCAACAATGTCACCGCGGACCATACAGTGACTAGAGAATATAGACCAGAGAGCCA